ATCTACTCCGGAAGGATGGTGTAAAGGATAACTTTGATCTGTTCTAGGAGGTTGCTCGACAGCTTGAGGACAAGTACTTCTAGAAAAAGTTGGAGCAGGTCAGAACCGCATCAAATGCAGAAGGTTGACAATGGCTCACATGTTTGATGAGGGATTTGGAGAAATGGACAAGAGCTCACGACGCCGGTGGATGGAGGTACGAGTTTCAGTGCAGCAACATGGCGAAGTCATTCAATAAGTTTCTATTGGGGATACATGGTATGCCCGTGAATGCAATCGTTCAATTCACCTTCTACAAGCTTGTTGCTTGGTTCAACGATAGACATGCCCATGCATTGAAGTTGCGGAGTGATGGAGAGATATGGGCTCCGAAACCAAAGGCACACCTAGAGAAGGCAAATGAAAGGGCTGGCACATATGAGGTTGCATGTTTTGACCATGCCACAGGGACTTATCAGGTTGAGCATAGGGGTGGTATAACGTCCGACGACAAGGTCTGAGAGTCGAGGATGCATGTGGTAATCCTCCAAAATTTCACAAACACTTGTGGTAAACCAAGGCCGTACCACTTTCTATATTCTCATTTGGTGGCAGCAGCTAGGCATGGCAACTTTAATATCGAGAGCAGAATACCTCACGAGTTCAGTGTTGACACGCTTATGCACACATGGAGCCCCCGCTTCTTGCCTTTCTGGGACCCTAGAGACTGGCCTCCATATGATGGGCCAAAGTACATTGCGGATCCAACTTACCGTTGGAACAAGCGTGGATCAAGGAAGAGGACGAGGCACATGATGGTTATGGATCAGATACCCGGAAGAATGAGGCGTGGGAGACGAACCCCATTTCTTATTGACCTCGAGCAGTACGAGTGCGGCAAGTGCGGTAGACTAGGCCACAATTCACGCACTTGCCATTAGCAGATTAGTGAGGTGCGGCTATTTTTTATTTTCATTATTTCATATTTGTCGTATTCATTCAATTAATTATGCATGTCTCAATTTATGCTTGTAATTATGTCAATTACTTGTATATTTCTAAGTTTATGTTTCATTGTATATTGAATTTCTATTTCATTGTTTTTTTGTAGGATGGCGCAATTCTACCTACTCGACCTGGCGTACGAGGAGACCCACCGAGGACGTCTCATAGCTGAGGGGCAGGTAATAATCTATACGTATTGTTCAAATTTTTGTGAGCGTACATGTGTTCGTGAGGTAATGGGAGACTATGTTTTATTCCATGCAGGACCTTACGCTCCTTCGTCCTAGAACCCACAATGGGTTCTTGGACATGCAGTATGACAATAGGTACACTCCTTTCATGCAAAGAGCTGGCCTAGATGTCATCTCTTTTCAGATTCGTCGTGGGTTGCCTAAGTTCAACTCAGTGGGCATAACTGAGTTGGTTGTCCAAGTTCAACTTAGCTTGGCCCATCTCAGCTTCAGGACGCTCCCTCAACTCAGCCTACACAACCTTCAGGCACTAGGCGACACCGTCCACCTGACCCTTACACTCCAAGCACCGACGCTCTTGGTCACAAGGGTAAGGGTAAGACTAGAAGACAGTGAGGGTTTGTGGTAGATGTTATCATGTACTATTATAGACTTTGTGGACTTTCATTATGAACTATTATTATCGAATATGAACTATTATGGACTATAATTATGGACTATGTGGACTATTAATATGCTCATGTATATGGTTTTAGATGAATGTGGCATATATTTGTATGTTTGAACATGTTGTATTGAGGTTAAATATTCATCTCATATTTGTGTATGGATTACATAAAAAATAGGGGAAATTATGCCAAAATTTTCTGCCTAAAGTATGTATTAATCAACGACATCAATTTTACCGGTTCAAAATAGTGATTGAAGTCTGAAATCGAATAGGCTTTTCAGTCATGGAATCTAGGGGAAATAACCTTTACAGTGATTTATCATGTCACCGTCAAATAAACTTTTCAGTGTCCTTCGAAATAGTGATTTAAGTTTGAAATCGAATAGGCTTTTCAGTCATGAAATCTAGGCTCTCCAGTGTCCTACGATGTAGGCTTTTCAGTGATTCTGAGTAGACTTTCCAGGAGCATTTACAGCCCAATACAACGGCTAGCAAACCTGCCTCCGCCTATATATATACGTTCTAGGATGCATTGCTAACCAGAAGGAAAACCAAATTAGTACTCGGTTTTGTTGGAGTAGGAATGTCTGGAGGGTCATCTAGAAGAAAGGGTTTTGGGAGTGGGAGAGGAAGGGGGGGACGAAGGGAACTCCCATTGTGTGGGAAGGGCCTCTTGGGTCTGATTTCTTTGAGAACCAGTGTATCAATTTCCCCTCGAGAGCAAGAGTGATTTCACTAAAGAGTGCCCTCTCAGAGGATACGATAACAGGAAGGAAGATTAGCCAAAATGCATGCATGGTGAGGACTGCTTAGTGCAGATGTTCACCGAGGGGATCGACGGAGGTCATCGCTTCTTCAAATGCCCACGAGCATGGGTATTTGCTATTATATTTTGTTTGTTAAATATGTTTCTTGAATACCCTTACAACTCACAGGACATATTTATTGTAGTCTTCAAGTCCGAAGAAAACTGTAGGTTCACAAGATGGGTCGATCTTCGACCAATTTATCCGCATTAGTAGTACATCTACTACCTGCAGGACTAAATCTTTGATCTATAAAGGGAAGTTAGTAGCGGGTATAAGGAAGACGAAGCCGACGACAACAACAATGGTGTAAGTTCACAGAAGACACTCTGCAACGATCCATATTGCACCTGCCCTAATCACAAGAACAAGGGGCCTCCGCCGTCACCCCCCACCACCACCACCAACAATGGGAGGCTACTATGGAGAAGGTGCAACACAATTTGCTATGTGGCCACACTACTAGGACGACCCTATCTTATTCACATGGCACATCCATGTGTTTGTTGTTTGGTTTAATTACCTAAGGCATGTTAGGTTTAGTCGAAGGAACTATGTACCCTTGTTTGGTACATGTTCTCACATGCCATTTCTTGTGCTTGTTGTTCGCTTGAATTATCTAAGGCATGTTAGGTTTAGTTCAGGACCCCTGTACCCTAGTTCGGTAAATGTTCTCACATGTCATTTCATGTGTTGTGTGTGTTGAATTATATAATGTCCTACATCGTTAGGTTTTGTTTGCAGCACGTGATGTGATCACATTTCACTACGTCCCCAATATTAAATTGAATATTATGACCATAAATAATGAAAACAACTACATAATGAAAAGTCCAATACTATGGCACATTAAACAACACAATAATACTATATGTACGTGTCGACAAACTAAATAACACAGTACATGACCTAAGCATGCCCATACTTAAAGCGCATTACATGACAACACAATAAAAAGTCCAACAATAGACAACATTGTTCATGAATAAATCATATAACTAGCAAGTAATCGAGACTACTGAGTGCAACGAGGCCATTTTCCCTTCCTCAGGGCATCGGGATTCTCCTCCATCGCTACTTTCGCTCGACGTGCACGCTCAAGCTTCTTCTCCCTCTGTTCCCTGTACGCAGCAACACGTCTCCTTTCCTTCTCTTCCTTGTGCTCCTTTTTTTTAGCCTCCTCTCTGCGTCTCTTCTTCATCATCTCCTTGTCCTCTATCTCCCACCGTAACAGTTTCTACATCCATTCCTTGTCTTCAGGCTTGATCTCAGTGTCGATCCACTGCTCAAAATCACAGAGCGGTGGAGGGGTCTGCAACAAATGCAATTGTTACAAAACAAAAAAATTACGCAAGATGTCATATGACACAAACATCAATTCCTCACCATCTTGTTAATGCGGCGCTGACGAAGTGTAGGCTCAAACACAAAATTGGAACACATCCAATACCTCTGCCTATAGGTGTCCTTTTCATCGGACTTGGCTACCTTGCAAGGATCGCCGCAAAAGCACATGGGCACTGGAATACTACTAGGCAAAGACAATGGGTCGAAGGCATTTTCGGCCATCCGGCCATTACTATAATTTAAGCATTTTTGTTCGAAGAACCGAAACTAATTAACATTAAACCCTACACCTAGGGTTTCCTATTTGATCCACAACAATGAACCCATATCATAACAACGTGCGCTGAGGTTACTTTGGTTTGGTAGCTTTTCCACGCCTTGACATCCTACGTTGTATAATATAAATATTAAAATTGCATGAAACTCTAAATAATGACGATTCTTAAGTTGAAAAATCCGACTAATATATATCGAATCGATTTAAAAAAAAACTAGGAGAGAGCGAGGATACCTTGCTCTCGAAGATCGACGGATCAAATCAAAGTTTTCAAGGTCCAATATGCCGATTCATGAGGTAGAGTGAAATGGGGAGAGAAAAAACTCAAGAGGGATGAGAAAGAAGAGAAAGAAGGCTCGGACAGGAAGGTTGAACGTCGGGTTAAAACACAAGCTCGACGCCATGATTTTTGGCGCCAAGCTTGGCGCCAAGCTTGGCGCCAAGATCAACGGCGCCGAGCTGGCTGCCATGTCAGCATCCACGCCGCCAACGTGGCCCCGACCTAGGCGCCAGAATCTATGGCGCCGAAACGTGGAACCTCGGCGCCACCATCGATGACGCCGAGCTAAAGTCCATATTTTAAAAGCATCTCCAGGAGCACATTTGTGATTTTTTTTCAAAAAAAAAACTAAAAAATAAAAAATTCGGCCCTTCCACACTACCTACCCCTCCTCTCTCCACCACCACACTGACCTACACACACCAAATACCCTCAACACCCTGTCCACCAGGCCACCATTCACCTCCACCAGCCAAACAAAAATTCTTTTTTTGATTTACCAAATTATATAAGAATTTTTTTTTGTTGCGCATTACCAGAGGTAAAAACCTAGGTCCGTTACTGAGGCCACCATTCACCTCCACCGCCAACAAATTCTTCTCAGCTCACCTCGCGTCGCAACACCAGTACGCACGTAGGAGGGAACCTCAAACTTCAGCCGACCATGGCTCAGCAGCAAACAAATCCCGAGGAGGTACCACCGATCGATACAGCTGACTGATTGCACACCAAATCTCTTGCCTTTTCCTGCTGCTGCGTGCCAATTTGGCTTGATCAGCTAACCTAAGGGGAGCATGGCCCCGTGCTCTGCTGGTGCAGGTGGTCCTCGGACAGGAGGCCGGGGGCGCGAGGGTGATCACTCTCAACCGCCCGCGCCAGCTCAATGGCATCTCCGACAGAGTGGTGTGGCTCCTTGCCCCGTTTTCTGGTTCTTGAACTAGAAGCTTCTTTGTGGTTCGATTGTGTGCGCGTGGTTTCTGCTTGTAGGTGTACCTCCTCGCGCAGTTCCTGGAGAAATGGGAGAAGGATGAGAACGCCAAATTAGTCATCTTTAAGGTGCGTACCTTCCATTATAATATGAAATGGTATTTTGACAACGTTAGGCGCTAGTAATTGTTGGCACAGCATATATGGTAGCACCATTGCATTGGTGTCCAATAGAAGCTGCTCTGCTGCTCTAGGACGGTATGGACCAAGGTCAGATTAGGTGTGTATTGTTAAAATTACGAGAGCCAAGAAAGTTGTCTGTTCTTTACCATCTGCAACAATGAATATTGAAGTTTGTAACTGCGTTGAACATTTTATGCTACAGCGAAGAGAGTTTGTAACTTAAAATCTGACCACCTAATGTAATGTGCAACAATTTCGGTACCATCAAATCTTCTGTTCAGCAAGTTGGCAAGGGTATCAACGTATTGAGTAGACATGAGTGATCCATCTTGCTGGTGAAAGAAGATTTGCTATTGATCTGTTTTTATACATTATTAAGCAGTTGTCAGAAGCTCCAGGTAGACAAAGGTGATCATGTTATGTACTTGTTTGATTTTGAATAGGGAGCTGGACGTGCATTTTCTGCTGGTGGGGACCTAAAGATGTTTTATGAAGGGAAATCAAGTATGGACATTGCAGAACAATTGCATGGCATTGCTATCAAATCATTTCAATTTCTTACTAGCTCAATTGATTTCTGTTACCATGATGTGCATTTGCATACAATAAATCATGTCACTTAGGATTGGAGCTACAAATACTGCTTTTGCAGATGATTCCTGCCTCGAGGTTGTTTATAGAATGTATTGACTTTGCTACCACATTCATACGTACAAGAAAACCACGGTATATGATTGCCAGAGAACCATTCATCTTTCTGAAGAAAATAATGTACTGAAACTCTACAATCCTATGTTCGTGTAGGTTGCTCTTGTTAATGGGCTTGTGATGGGTGGTGGTGCTGCTATGGTTGCGCCACTAAAGCTTGCAGTTGTCACAGAGAAAACAGTATGTGCCAAGAATACTTTTGAGGCCTATATTATTTATAATCTATTTTACCTTAACTCTTCTACATGTATTATCTTCATTGCATTTCTCATGATAAAACCTGTACTCTTGTGCACCTATTCATATGATCTTTTGTTATGTAAGCAGAGCATTATGTTATCAAGTTTTTTAATATTGAAAGGTTATCCACTTGATTGCCTCTAAATGTGGTTCTGAATCCTTTTGGAGATTCTAACAGTGATCAACTTATATTCTCCTTTTCTTTTTGGTAGATCTTTGCTACTCCTGAGGCTAGTGTTGGATTGCACACAGATTGTAGCTTTTCCTACATCCATTCTCGGCTCCCTGGATATTTAGGTAAGTATTATATTATAAATTTACATACATTGAAAGGTATGCATGAGCTTGATTGCTGAAATATTATAATGAAAAAACTGGCAATTGCAAATAAAATGTAGAGTGCTGTTTTTCATTTTTTAAATCAAATATATGACTGTGCGACATCTATTTGAGAGAATTCCTTATTTGACACTGGGAAAATGAGTCGTTCCTTTCTTGGCCCTGAAATTTTCTTCGTTCCACTATTTGACACTCACTTCAACTTTCATCCCTAATTTGACACTACCGTCAAATCCGTTAGCTAACGGTGTTAACTGGCTGTTAAAAAGGCGTTTTTGCCCCTAGAAAAAAAAGCGGCGAAGCAAATTTGAGAGGAAAAAAAAAACTGCACCTTTTTTTGCATCTGGGCGCATGCATCAGAGGCGGGCGCAGTTTTTTTTTCCTCTCAAATTTGCTTCGCCGCTTTTTTTTTCTAGGGGCAAAAACGTCTTTTTAACAGCCAGTTAACACCGTTAGCTAACGGATTTGACGGTAGTGTCAAATTAGGGATGAAAGTTGAAGTGAGTGTCAAATAGGGAACGAAGAAAATTTCAGGGCCAAGAAAGGAACGACTCATTTTCCCAGTGTCAAATAAGGAATTCTCATATATTCATGATGATTTGTCTTTTGTCTTCTTTTGAACTATCAGGCGAGTATCTGGCTTTAACTGGTGCTAGACTGAATGCGAAGGAAATGATTTCTGCTGGTCTTGCTACTCATTTTGTCAGTTCCGAAGTAAGACATTCAGCAGCTAGCATTTCTACTTCTATTCGCTTTGCTGCACTAATATCCACTTGGCTGCATGTGCAAACAATGGAAACTTGGGAGTAGAGACTGTCAGACTGCTTGTTGATAGTGGTTGCCTGTAGTTTTACTAATCAAAGCACTTGTGATATTTATTGCAGAAATTGGAAGAACTTGAAAAACGTCTACTGAATTTGGACACAGGTGATGAGTCTGCAGTCCGAGCTGTTATTGAAGAATTTTCAACAGATGTTCAACCTGATGAAGATAGTATTTTGAACAAGTACTGAATCTGATGATTATTTAAGATAGAACTTGTTACACATAATATAAGTATCCTGCATATACTGAAAATAAATTGACATTGATATCTCAATCTTTCTTTGATAGGCTTTCAACTATCAACAAATGCTTCTCTGCGGAGATTATTGAGGACATCATAAAGGCATTTGTAAGAATTCAACACTCATGCCATCCCACTTTATGCTGTGTGATTTCCATCAGTTTCTCAGACTATTGGTGATAACTGATGTGCTAGCTAGTGTTTATTCTACATTCTGTAATATGCCATGGTTTATTTAGACCTTGAAGTTGTTTTTTTTTGTTTTTTTGTTTTTTTTTTGCAAAAGAGCTGCATACCTTAATCCTGATTTCAAACGAAAATCTGGTATAATTTGAAAGCGACCTACCATATATTAATAAAACGAAACTAAAACCTTGTATAACGAGCTACCGATTTTTTCCAGCACCTAAGATGCATTCATCCTTTGTTGTAGCATCAAACCATCTCTGTACCACTGTCCTTGTAACAAGGCAATTCTCTTACTTTGCAGCATATGTGTATCATTAATCAAACACCTTAGTTTTCGTCACTGCAGGAATCAGAAGCTAGCATAGATGGAAACCAATGGATAGCTCCAGCCTAAAGGGTCTGAGAAGATCATCGCCAACTGCACTGAAGATCACCCTGAGATCGGTACAATATCTCACATTATTGTTAACCTAATCAAATTTATCCCGTCGACCTCTATGTTTTTGCTTGTCTATAAGGTGAAGGCTAGCGCATCTCCCCCTCCATGACCACCTGCTTTATTCTTGTGAAAACTACTATTTTAGATTTATGTAATTATGCACTGCAGTGGATTTCTATGAGTTTTCGTTCCAGAAGTTAAGCTCTAGTTTCCTTGATGATTTAAAACTTTCAGATCAGAGAAGGTCGGAAACAGAGTTTGCCTGAATGTTTGACTAAGGAATTTAGGCTTACAATTAATATACTGCGGTCTGTTGTTAATGGGGATGTTTATGAGGTATGGAGGTCGTACCAATGAACTGCGGTTGCCTTAAAAATGAGTTTTGAACTTGGCCACTGACATTTTCAATTTGATTTTACGACAGGGTATTAGAGCTCTTAGCATTGATAAAGACAATGCCCCTAAGGTTCCTCTCTCTTTCTCCTTCCTCTCTGTAGCTCAATAATATATGTATATCGCTGCCATGCTCTCTCTCTCTCTCTCTCTCTCTCTCTTTTAACTTCTCTATCTATGATGCCGCAGTGGAATCCCACTACCATTGAGGAGGTGAAGAACGAGGACATTGACCGTGTGTTCCAGCAGTTCAGTTCGGAGCAGGAGCTTCAGGTCCCATCTGATGATTCCAACAGGTGGGCTGTGACTTACCTCAAATCTCCGTCTCCCACATCACTCATGGATCCTACCTAGATAGCTAGCGCATTTGACATCGACAACGTGCACGTGGAGCGGCAAATAAGAGAACACGGTCTATGGCAGAGCTTCCTCCTAGTGACTGATTCCAGTCTTTTGTATCGTGGCAGCAGAGACCGATATTCCTTCGTACCACGGCATTACGGAAAATTCAGTTTGCGGCACGAATGTATTTCGAGTGTTTGTGTAGTGGGACGTTCTGCAAAGATTACACGATGACACACGAAGCAATAAATAAAAAGTATGATAAGTTTGATGTAACACCAAAGCAATTTATTGGTCTTGTAATTTCGTTGGTCAGTAATGAAATTCGGCTTTGCTGTGGTGGAAAAAAAAATATCGCCAATCAGAGGCTCAGACCCTTAAAGCTATATATACTAACTCTATCAGGAGTACTCCAACTCCAAGTAGTAGTTTCTCTTGTACTTTGTAGATGTCCTCTCAATCGGGGATGTCCTAACTGACAGAATCTGTTTCACAGCAGCTAATTGGCCCTTGTCAAACTCCACCCCCACCTTCTTCAGCTGCTTTGCTACGGTTAGCAGATTAACAATCAGTTCCCTCTGATATTCTTGAGGCTTGAACCCAAGAAACTTGAACTGCTCCAAGCTGGTAGTCAGGCAAGATATACTTGCCAGCCTATCCTTGTGATCAGTGAAACGGGGCAAATCACTGCCGTTGTCTGTTTCAGCAGCCTAGTACAGAAGGAAGGTGTGTTAGCGATAAACCAAAGATGAAACTTGAGATGATAAGGTTCTAATGTAAATAATAAGGCTGGTTTTAGGTACCGAAAGAATGAATTTCTGTAGGTTAGGGCAGCTCTCAAGAAGCTTCAGCAGGAAAACAGGTTCTTGTTCACTTGAGAGATTCAAGCTCACTGATAGAATCCTCAAGTCTTGAAACATAACCATCAACTTAGGGTTTTTTTCATATTCATATGACAATACCTGCAATAATATCAAGACATCCAACATATGACATAAATTCATACTCACAAGTACTGTATGCTATAAACTTCATATATGCTAGATTACTCTTTGTTGTGCCAGAATCCACGTTGCTTAAAACTTTGAACTTTTACCATACCAATAAATCACAATGAAGCATGTTAGCTTACCAGCATCATGCATTTTGGCACCTATTTAGCATAAATAGATCATACTAAATTGCAACCAAGAAATTAGGAGATATAACTGTATTCTAAAGCTCAAGGTTAAATGCCCTGTCCTTCCTAGAAGCAAATCTTTCAACAATATTTGTTGCATGTTTATTTAATTTCACGATATAAACACTATGATTCACTGAGTTTTCCCAGAACCCCAGACAAGCACAAAACATAAGAAATGACGAACTAAAATGTTTGCCTCAAAGGCTCTTCCATTGTTGTTGATGGCACATAAACACTAATCACATGCTCCAGCCATTGTCTTGCAGTCCCTTGCTTCTTTTAAGTTTTAATGCTTTCTTTTCATATTGACATCGTTTAATCACATGAGTCATTAGCATTGTGCATTTTTTATGTAAAGGGCAGCTTTTTTATTAAACTGAAACATTTAGAGCATGATAAACAACTGACCAGATGAACTCTGGTACCACATCAACCCAAACAGCACTGACCTGTGACCTCAAGTTCCAATGATCTTGCGAAAGCATGAGCCACCCTATTACATGTTCTTCTAACAGTCTAACATGGCAACCAAAAAGTGATCTCTCACAGAGCAATTGGCATTGTTAACCAGGTTAAGGCAATCTCAGAGCACTTGATCTCTCAGGTGATTCTAGCAATTGATCTCTCACAAAGCACTTAAATGGGGGGTTTTAAGCATCGATTCTACATTATAACAGTTCTAGCTAAGATAATTCCATGCAATCAAGAAATTATGATATGTCAATCCTACTCTAAGGCTCAAGATTGAATGCTCTGTCCTTCCTAATGCACATGTCTAGTTGATTTCAAGGTCTGAACTCTTATGAATTATGATTAATCTGAGCATCAGGTTGTGCTATAGAAGCACATGCTCAGAAAACTTTACAAACGAAAATGTTGCCTACTGCCAACTTTTGCTTATTCCTGATGTCATGCAATGCATACCAAATTTATGCTTCCATCAACACAATCATGAAGAGGGTTCTTGTTGATAGTGGCTACCCAAACATTGCACAGAACACGAACCAGCAAGCAAGTAGCAGTTAAGTTAACGTACGATGCAAGAGATCGAGCTCACCTTCATGGCGTGGCCTCTGAGCGTGAGGCACTTCAGCTTCACGGCAGCATCCAGGAACGGCCGAACCCTGAATGACTCCATTGACTTCTTCATACTGTTTGATTTGGAGATGTGAAGGTACACCTTCCTGATCTCTGGCGCAGGAGCCAGCTCCAGACTCTTCGCCCTACTCCGCGTGTACAGCGTGAGCACCCTGAGCCCCGACGCTCTAATCACGGTCCCCTCCAGCTTCAGCGTCGGCCTGAACACGAGGTTCTTCACGGAGGACGACTCCACCGTGCAGCCCTTGCCCGTGCCGTGCCCCGTGCAGTACTCCATCTCGAGCGTCTCGAGGCATGACGCGGAGGCGAGGATTTTGTTGATGTTATCCTGGTGGATGGCGACGCGGTGGAGCCTGAGCGTGCGGAGGCAGGGGCAGCTGACGTCGGACCACGGAGGCACGGCGCAGGTGTCGAGCGCGAGCACGACGAGGGATTTCACGGTGAGCACGTTCTTGGGCAACCGCGCGCGGCGGGTGAGGCGGAAGGAGAGCTCGGATACACCGTGCAGGGCGGCGTCCTCGATGATGGGGCGGAAAGACGAGGGCGGGATGGCGCGGTGCGGGGCGAGGGCGAGGCGGCGGATGAGGAGCGGCGGGGTGATCCGCAGAGGGTCCGGGAAGTGGGGCTCGTGGAGGGTGAGCGATTCAACGCGTTCGAGGAGCCGGGAGACCTCGTGGCGGAAGTGGCGGGACACGGCGGCGAGCCTGGCGGCGGAGCGGGTCGGGAGGCAGTTGAGGATGCTTCGGAGGAGGTCCTCGGTGAGGTGGGAAAAGCGATCGGGGCCCTCCCCGGCCGCGGCCCCCACGTGACGGCGGCGGCGCTTGCGGGGGCGGCGGCCCATCGGGGGCGGCTTGGAGTCGGAGACGGAGACTCGGAGGAGAGAAGGATTGGTGGGATGGATCCGGGGTCCGGCGTCCGGGGGCGGTTGCAAGTTGCAGCAAGCTCTGGGGGATCCGGAGTATACATTGGCAAGGAAACCGATCTATATTGGCAAGAAACTAACGACCTGTTCGGTTGCCGTACTTTTTCGACCGACGAATAATATTTTTCTCTCACAATAAATCAGCCAACAATACTTTCAGCCATAACTTATCAGACAACGTCCAATCTAGTTTGTAATTTAGCCCATAGTGACATACGTGCATGTTAATGAGATATTTTAGAGGTTTAGTCACACCTTTGATGTTAAAGGTCGGTTATAACAACATATAAGACTTCCAGATTCTATCTCACCATCCCTAGGTTAATTCTTTTACGCGAAGTGATGACGTATAGAGTGGATCTTAGCCGTCTGGACTCTGACGAGGACTTACAAAGTCCAAAACCAGTCCACCATCCACCAAATGAGACCTACTAGGCCTATTACGGGTTATGCCACTTGGCCAGTAAGACTAGGCTCAGTGGATAGTTTTATCGTGTTCTTTCCAAGACAATGAAACTTAAGGGGTGTTTGATGGGGCTCATCCAGAGGAGCTAGAGCTGTTTTGGAAAAGCCACGTCATAATTTGTGGCTCCTCCAAAACAGCTAGTTTCATTGCGTTTTTCCCAAGACAATGAAACTTAAGGGGTGTTTGACGAGGCTCATCCGAAGGAGCTAGATCCGTTTTGGAGAAGCCACATCACAATTTGTGGCTCCTCCAAAACGGCTTCGGCTACTCTGTTTTTCACTGAAAAACGGCTCATCCGGCAAAACGTTTGAGTCGAAGCCGGGGAGGAGCCCTGCCAAACAGGCCCTTATATGAAACACCCACTCTCAATGTAAAGTTTCATTCTATAATTTTATAGGTATTTAATTTCATGACTCATTGATAGTTGATAATTGTGCTAAGAGAGTTTCATCATTTCGTCTCTCTTCTTAAATACACTGCCATGTCATAAAAAATGCCTATGAGGCAACATATTTAATGTAAATGAAACTCACATGAAACTCCCACTGAGATTTGGCATGCCTCCTCCGGAGGAGCCAGAGCCGAAGCCGGAGAGGAGCCCTACCAAACAGGCCGATGAAACACCTACTCTCAATGCAAAGTTTCATTCTATAATTTTATAGGCATGTAATTTCATGACTCATTGATAGTTGATAATTGTGCTAAGAGAGTTTCATCTCATTTCGTCTCTCTCTTCTTAAATACACTGCCATGCCATAAAAAATGCATATGTGGCAACCTATTTAATGCAAATAAAATTCACATGAAACTCCCACTGACACTGACCTAAGAGTCAAGTTTGTGCTAACCAGGGCCTAATTGTCCGAGCTATCGCCCATGATCCTATAGAAGGAATTCCCTTCCGAAGCTCGAAATGTAGGCCAACATGTTATGTTGTGCCTGCGGTATGTTTCTTTGGGGCATACTCCATCCGTCTAAAATTAAGTGTATAAGAACATCTCTAGAAATTTAATATAATTTATGAGTAAAATGTATGGATAGTCCATTAACTTGTAAGGGTGTGTCGATTTGGTCCATCAAGTTTGAAAGTGCATTTTTAGGTTCAAAATCTTGATCAGTAGTGCATAAAGAGTCCATACCCCTTCATTTTATGTTTATATTTGTAGAAACCCCCTACATTTATTTTTCTTTCACAAGCTTACCCTTCACACGTAAAGGGGCCAAATCGGGGCGCTCCCTTTTCATGACCCCTCGCTCCATTCAACATGGGATGCAGCGGCGCGAGCGTGACGTGGACCCAGGTAGGCAACGGCGTAGCGCAGGGGCGAGTGTGGTGCGGTGGC